CCAATAAAGAAATTAGCAAAACCAGGGCAGACTGGATTTAGCAAAGAAACTGGATTCATATTTTGTTCACATGGTTGAGTAACAGTAGCTGCATGGTCAAGAGAGGGGCCTTGCTCCTTGACCCCAGTGTCTGGAGAGGTCACTGCTTCTAAAAAGGTCTGGTGTCATTCAGAGAACAGGCTCCTATAAACCCCAAGTGAGAGAATTCTGGACTTGCTCAGGGCGGGGAGGACGTCTCTCCCGGTCTCTGTTTGTTTACAGGGCTCTCCACAAGCGGTGGCGTGGCTCTGAATGAGGCCATGGCCCAGGTGGCCCGGGAGCCAGGGCTGCTGTATCCGGGCATTCATTCTTCTCACACACAGCTGTTCCAGCTTTCCCAGGCCCATTGTGATGTCTCTGAGGGGCTTCCGAAGCCACTCACAGCAGCATCCCTCCACCCCAGCAGAGCACTTCACCGCCCACCTGAAGGAACACAATAGGCCAGTGGTCATACAATAGGCCAGTTGTCGTCTGAATCCCCCCAGGGGCCAAGGGGACAGGGCGGTTCTCCACTCAGCAGTTTGGAGGGGACCTGGCCTGACTCCACCAGGCGAGGGAAAGCCCCACGCCTTCGCATTCGCTCACAACCCAGCCACTCTCTCAAGTCAAGTCAACACCATAAACCATGCCCGTAACCCGGCCTATCAAAACCACGTGGGAGGCCACAGAGCCAGGGAAATGTGTTAAGGAGTAGTGAGCGGGGAAGGGACACACTGAAGCCAGTCTGAGGACTCAGCCAGAGGAGATACAGCATCTCAGGGCAAAGCGTACACTTAATGCCAGCAGTGATCTTGTTACATGTCTTAACGCTATCTATTTTTGTAACACCTTTCTCCCTGACGCTTCTGGACAAATAGGAATATTTCTAAATTTCCCTGGGCACATTCTGTGTGGAAAGAGAGGGAATATCACACCCCTATGTCCGTGAGGCTCAGAACAGGTTAATTTATGGAAGGTTATTCGCAATCATGGGCCTTTCTAATGAAACATCACCCCACTGGCCCCCACCCCTGGCGGGATGTGTTAAGGCATGAAACACACCCACTCTTAGGAGACTTGAGTAAGTCATATATTTCAGTAGGTTTAAGTGAGAAATAACAGATTCTAATAATCAAAGCCCCAGAAATAGGAGCGTAACCCCTAGACACATACTTTCACACGTACATCCAGGCAAGTCCTTGGGTTTTTTTATGCAAGACTTCAGTAGAATATGGCTATGCATCTTAAGCCTCCAATTCATATTTGCAGCTTCGATCTTTCCCCTGAAATCCAGACTTGATGATCCCGCTGCCCATCTGACAGCTCCCTCGGATGTCTTACGGCTTCATCTCCCCTCAGGTCTTCACCAAAAGGCCACCGCCTCAGGGAGTCCTTCCCGTCTCATCCTATTAAAATTGAACCCTTCCTCCCCCAAATATCCTGATCACTTATCGCTGCTTTATTTCCCCTTACATATTATAATTTACTTATTTGTTTTATTAAATAAATAATCCATTCCCTTAGCCATAACTCAAGCTCCATGAGGGCATGTTTTCTGAGGTCTGTCTTGTTGGCTGCTGTATTCCCAATGCCTATGCTGTGCCTGGCACAAAGTTGGTCTTCAATAACGAATGATGAGTGAATAAATGAATGGGAAAATGTTGAAAGCATTGGATTGTTTTTTTAAAAAAAGAAAATATCAAATCATGGTATCTCTACTGCATAGAATTCTGCTTTATACTTATTCTACTTGATGGAATAACTTCGTGAGTCAAGAGCTGACCCCTGAAGGTGGGGGAGATTTGACTAGGGTTTTATTTGGCCAGCATTGTTTGCTTGTGTGCTGGTTTTTAGTTTGTTCTGTTTTTTAATTTAAACTTAAATGCCCTTGGCAAGCATGCACTCCCAGTTTACCCCAGTCCCCACCACTCTGTATGTTATACCCTGGTCGGAGGGCTTCACGCATTTCCTATTCCTGCCAGCCTCTGAAGGTATTGAGTTTACCATCCCATACCCCAATAGATACAGGTTTCAATGATTTGCCTAAACCAATATCTTGAACTGCATAATGAGTATGACTTTGGGTGACTAACATCTTTGGGTCTCTTCCAACTCTGAAATTCTATAAAAACATCTCTTGGTTGTCTGACAGCCTTTGCTCAAGGTCATCTGAACTACTTTGGGGATGCTTAGCTGGATATCAAATGAAATGACAATTCCTTATGTGATTCTTTTTTTTTTTTTTTTTGAGGAAGATTAGCCCTGAGCTAACATCTGCTGCTAATCCTCCTCTTTTTGCTGAGGAAGACTGACCCTGAGCTAACATCCATGCCCATCTTCCTCTATTTTATATGTGAGATGCCTACCACAGCATGGCTTGCCAAGCGGTGCCATGTCCGCACCCGGGATCCGAACCCGCAAACCCCGGGCCACTGAAGTGGAACATGTGCACTTAACCGCTGCGCCACCGGGCCGGCCCCCTTATGTGATTCTCAATCCTTGTGATGTCTAATGTCCAACAGATCATTAAGGTTATAGATCATTTGTCTACTCTGAAGTGACAGACAATGTCTCTAAATTCTCATCATTTAATAAACCTGGTTTATGTTTTCTATAACCTAATGGAAGGTTAGATTCCGTCACACAGACATTCTTCTATTATAAATTGAAAAATTGTCAGACGATATTGCCTGAGATTTACTCTAAATATAGTGGTCCATAAATATAAGATCTACATTTTAACACACCAAGATTCCTAATCAGTCAGGCCATACAAATTCATTTGAAGATAAATCTGTTTAAAATTCTACTCATAGTAACTTCAAAGTGAAATCTACTTGGCAAAAGGGACGCAGAAAGTGAGCTGGAACAAAAGATGGATTTTAAAATATAAGGTTGGCAACTGAGCAGGAGTGACGACCAAACGTCAAGCCCAAAACCTTCTGAATAAGAATAATAAAAACCGTTTCCTGTCACTAATGAAATTCAGTACGTTTTAGATTGATCAGTAACACATTTGGTCCTAACATCTGGAGGAGAGACTCTGCTGCAGTCTCAAACTTTTAGACTCTCATTAAAGAATCAAATAAATGCTCTTGGTCCCCTACTACTGAGCTTATGGGGTCCAAGAGTGCAAGAAATACCGCCAGAAACCTCCCCAACGCTAGCGTTAGGAGAGTCAGCTCAAAAAGACCTCTTAAATGGCTATTGAAAAGAGTACATATAAATAAAGCAATGAAAAGACACATATGCAGCCAAAGAAAGATATCTGTTGAGTTTAATTGCTTGAGATCCTTGTCAACTTTAAAAGAAGTTATTCTTTGAAAAATTAAAGATGAGACACTGTCAAAAGAGGGAAAACTAAACACCCATGATCCTAACAGTGAGGACAACAGTTTCTAGTCTGCCTGTTACCTTCTTACTTGGTCTATAGATACTATATATATTTTTACATTTGTAATTATAGTAATTGAACAATTCTGTACTCGGCTTTTTTTCATGTAATTATGTTCTAAACATTTTCCATATTGCCACAGAGTCTTTCTAATATTTATTGTTAGTGAGGGCACAATATTCCATCAAATGGCTTAAACATTCTTTTGCTATTGCAATTTTAGTTTATGCTCAGTGTGTTTTAAAAAAATTTAATGATAGCTTTACTAACTAAAATTCAGTACTTTTATTTCTTCCTCCTTCTGGTATAAGCTAATTTCATTAAATTGGTTAACTCTAAGAGCCTCCTCGGGAGTGCTAAAGAGCATGGAGAAGCCATATTACATCAGGATAAATTTCAAGCATTTGGTGACCATAAGTCTCACAGCCCTCCAACCCTCGCTCAAATTGCAGCCTTGTGAAGGAGCAGACTCTGGATTCAAGGTGCCTGCATCCTGCCTTTGCTGGGTACCAGCATTTGTCTTGGGGAAATTTGCTTTCTTTCTCTGTGCCTGTTTTCTTGTCTGCAAAATGGGATTAGTAATAGCATCTATCCTATAAGACTGTCCTGAGGCTTAAACAGGACGATGCATGTCAAACATTCAGAACAGTGCCTTTCATATTGAATGTGCTCTATAGATATTAACCCTCTTAATATTAGAGTAGCTTTCTATTTTTTCTGTACCTTATAGGGTTCTACACACAAGCAAGACAAGCGGGGAGTTTTAGAACTTTAAAAACAAACTTGAGATAAATTTCTTAGCCAGAGTACCTCCTTTTATAGTCAAATTTTTCAAGGGAGAAATATATGTTAATTCATTTAGCAACAATCAGATCCTACTCTATGGTGTTAGTTTTTTTTTTTTTTTTTTTTGAGGAAGATTAGCCCTGAGCTAACATCTGCTGCCAAACCTCCTCTTTGTGCTGAGGAAGACTGGCCCTGAGCTAGCATCCATGCCCATCTTCTTCTACTTTATATGTGGGATGCCTACCACAGCGTGGCTTGCCAAGTGGTGCCATGTCTGCACCCGGGATCCGAACGGGCGAACCCTGGCCACTGAAGCGGAACGTGTGCACTCAACCGCTGTGCCACTGGCCGGCCCCAGTGAGGTTATTATTGTGTCTAGTTAGAATAACTAGTAATCCACCTTAGACATTTGGGAACTCTCATTCTGTCAGCATAAACATAACAGTAAGAGTCAAAGTAGAATAGTCACCTCCCACCGAACACCGTGTGCCAGGCAAAACACTCGGACCATTCAAAACATTGTAAAATCTGCACAAGAACCTGGGGGCAAATGTTATTACTCCACTCTTGCACATGGGGAGTCAGGCTCAGCGAGATGAAATGACCCTCGAAAATCACACACCCCTGAGAATAACTGGTCCGCGTTGACCAACTTGGGTTATACTAACACTGGAAAGATGGAGAGGTCGTGAGACTGAATTCTCCTTTCCTGAGTCTCCGTCCCCTGAAATCTGCCTCTAAATCCCCATGAAACGTCAAAGGAGGTCAAATGCATTGTTTTCTTTTCTTTTTCACGTTATAGGTACGAAGATGGATCAAGAACCCGATGGTCAGTGTGGACAAGCATCAGAGTCCCAGTCTGAAGTACACGGGCCCCTCGGTGGTACACATGCCACCAGGGGAGTCAGACTTCGAGCCTTCCTTGTGTCAGACGTGCCTGGGAGACCACGCTTTCCCGAGAGGGGGCCTCCCTCAGGAGAAGGAGTCCTGCTCCTGGGAAACTCAATCTGGGTGTGAAGTAAGTTCATTTCTGCTCTGGATCCATCCTCCTGAAAGGATTCTAGGCCTTTGTTTTTCTTTTATTCATGCCACAATATGCCAAAAAAAAAAGGTTTTTTTACTGCACGTTTATAAGCTTCTGAGGAGAATATAGAATTGTAGCGTTTGTTAGCCTATTTTTATAATAGAGTTTATCTTTTAGAGCAGTTTTAGGTTCAGAGCAAAATTGAAAGGAAGGTACAGAGATTCCCCATATATCCTGTGCCCCCACACATGAATAGTCTCCCCCTCATCAACATCCCCCATCACAGTGGTACCTTTGTTACAATTGACAAACTACGTTGACGCATCATCAACACCTGAAGTCCACAGTTTACGTTAGGGTTCACTCCTGGTGCTTACGTCCCACGGATTTGGACAAACTTATAATGGCATGTCTCCATCATCAGAATATCATTCAGGTAGTTTCACGGCCCTGAAGGTCTTCTGCGCTACGCCTAGTCATCTCTTCCTCACCCAGCCCCTGGCCACCACTGCTTTTTGCTATCTCCATAGTTTTCCCCTTTTCAGATGCCATATAGTGGGAATCATACAGTATGATGTACTAATTTTTTATGCCGTTCCAAGATTTAACATAGCTGACCAATGTTTTGGTCAACTAGACATTTCTCCTAAGTTGCTGGATCACACAGAGATCAATTCTTGTACGTTGCAAAAAATCGATCTCAACGGTCGTCTACAGATTTGTAGCCTCCACTGAAATATTTAGCTCAACATGACTTGACCCAAATCAGAGCACTGTATCAATTTTCATGATTTTTCCCATAAATGTCCACTCGTATTTTTCATATCTACTTATATTTTTACTAAGCCATTTTTTTCTGCCACTCCAAGAGTTTTGGTTTTTAATTTTGTTGATCCAAGAAAGCCAGATAACTGACTTATCTTGCAGGTTCTAAGATTTCAAAACTTTGAGGTTGTATTTTTAACTTATGACACAATTTGGCTCATGTGTATTTTGACTTTTTAAATCATTAGATTAAATGTTTGCTATTTTTATTACCATCTTATTGACATAAAAACACAACATTAAGAGGACAGAGCCAGCCTGGCGGTCTAGAGGTAGAGACTAAGATTCGGGAGGCTCACCTCAGCAGCCTGGACTCGTGTCTTGCTTAGGGAACCACACCACCTGTCTGCGGCTTGTCATCCTGTGGCAGCTGCGTGTTGCTGTGATGCTGAAAGCTAGGCCACCTGGATTTCGAATACCAGCAGGGCCACCCATGGTGGACAGGTTTCAGCCGAGCCTCCAGACTAAGACAGACTAGGAAGAAGGGCTTGGCCACCCACTTCTGAAAAAATTGGTCATGAAAAGCCTTTGACTAACAGTGGCGCACTGTCTGATAGAGTGCCAGAAGGTGAAAGGATGGAGGAAAAAGATTGGGCAGCATTCCCTCAGCTGTCCTCAGGGTCTCTGGGAGTCAGAATCCACTCATCAGCACTGACAACAACAAAAAAGGGTAGAACATGTTATTACAAAGTGCAATTAATTGTAAGTGATCTTCCAATCTATTATTTTAAATCAGTGCATCATAAGATGATAAGTAACTCTCCTTTTTTAAAAAAACAGTAAGTGTTTGCCAGAGATAAAGTTATCCTTTTAGCTGAGTTCCTTTTAACCCTGGGATATGCCATGTCTCCGAATCTGTTTCCTCAAGAAAAAGTGACACCTGCCTGCCTACTTTCCAGGGTTACGGGAAGATCAAATGAGATGACACACATGGAATATTTCATAATCTAGGAAGGGCCATTATTACTTCCATTCACTCATTTACATACGTGCTATGCTGTGAGTCTGTGACACTGACTTAGGCTTCACGATAGGGGAGCACTTTGCCAATCTAGGAACAGTTGTCGTGGGGCACTGTTGTTTCGCCAGACACTGGCTCAACTCCAGGTTGGCCATAAAAGGCAATAACTAGATTCTAAATGCAAGGATTGGCGACTTTTTCTATAAGGGGCCGGATAGCGAATATTTCAGTCTTTGCAGGTGGTAGTCTCTGGCGCTTCTCTTCAGCTCCACCTTGTAGAGACAGCAGCCACTGATAATGTACAAAGGAGTGGGCCTGACTCTGTTGGAGTAAAACTTTCATTTATAGAAACATGTGGCTGGTCCTCCAGCCGTAGTTTACAGCCCCTTAGACTCTTACAGGAATTTGCCAACTCCTTAGAGTCTGAAGAACTGTTCATGACTTGGAGATGGAGAGAGGGCTCTGCAATCCCATAGACAGCACCCATGCCTACTCCTAACTGTTTCCCCAATGGCTGCTGTATGCCCATCCCATGGGATCTGGGCGTAGGTCAATGAGTAAACGTAATTCCACACCAGAGGAAACAAAAAACAAAGTGCTGGAAGGAATTTAAAACAACACTGTGATTCATCCTTTTACTTTATCTGGGCTAATAGGTGAATTATTCTCCAATTTAAAATGGATTACTTGGTTCTGACTTGGCTGGGTTTTTTCTTAAGGTCACCACAAATGAAGAAGATACTTATCTTTTAACAGTTTAGAAACGAATTTATATTTTGTGTTCCTATAGGGATTACACAATGAAATAGTTCCTTGAGAAGGTGACTCTGTCCTTTTAGGAAGTGGAGTTGTGTGAAGAGAAGACAGAGGGGCTGTTAGAGGCAGAGGCTGGTGGTGAAGACCCCAAGTTGTTCCTCTGACAACTCCTGATGTGGATTATTTTAAGCAAGTCATTAATTCATGCTTCCTGCTCAAGGTTCCCTCCTGCAGAAATTGAGATCGTTCATGCTTGCCACTGAGTTTCTTTCCGTGTTCTTTTCAGTAATTTGTAGATGAGATGGGATTTTAAAAATCTTTTGTAAATGTAAATTTACACGTAAATAGTGTTTCTGAATCAGGCAACCCGCATTCTGGTGCCAGATCTGCCACAAGGTCAATATATGAACTTGAGCAAGTCACAAAGCTCTCAGACATCATATGACAGGCCGACCTAATTGAGTCTGAAGCCCTTTTAGGTCTGAAATCCTACAGCTGGAATTTGATGATCTCTAAATGAAAATAAACTCTGTATTTGATGTGTAAAAATCAAACATAGAAAATGAGATGAGACTTTTAAATAAAATAAGAAAGCAAAGAAAGTGCAAATCCTTTATGAATAATTGTTGAGGGTTTTTTTTCTGACTTTAAAAATAGTGCATTATAAATGCTGCCTTTAATGGCCAAAAATCGCTAAGAGTTACAGTGCAGGGAGCTTGTGCCAGGCCACGCCAAAAGTCTAGTTGGTGGCTTTTAAACATGTTTCTTCCGTGGAGGAAACCAGGATATAAGTATTGCCAAAAAATCACCCAGAAGAATAACAATATTGTGATGTTACTAGTAGTGCTGTCTTAAATGGGCTGTTGATAAATTAAACGGCCCTTTCTGGGAAGGAGATGGGAAGATGATATCATGGAGCTGAGTAAGCTGTTACTGAATAATGCATGCTAGAGGAGCTCAAGTTGTTGCATTGCATTGTGAAATTAACGTTTAGGCCATAAAGAGATGGAAACCAAAGTAGTTTTTCAATGGGTGCATGCTGACTAAACATATTCACAGACTCTGTTCTGCAGCCTCTCTCTCAAAGCACCTTCAGTACCCAGATAAACTGAGCTGGAAGAAAAGGAAACGATGTTTTGGAGTGAGAATGGGGAAAGAAATCTGGTATTAAGGAAAGCGTGGGATTAGATCAATATGGCGGCCTGAACATAGAACGCTAGCTCTCCTTCCTTCCTTAAATGACAGAAAACACATATACATATTTTACTTTATAGCAGTGCTAGAAGACAAAGGGAGCCATTGTGTGGATAAGGGATAATTCAGAATCTCTGAGAAACAGAAGGCAGAATCTCTGAAAAACATAACCCCATCTGGGATTATGAGGTTGATAGGAAACCACAATCCAAAATGATCCCATTAGAAAACTCTTGCCCCAGATGGAGATACTGCAAGCTGACATGTTCAAAGAGACCCAGTCAGGTGGAAAATAAAGACGTTCCATGCAAGGCCTAATAAAAGGAAACTAGTTTTAGCAATATAAATTTCAGAAAAAATACAATGTAAGACAAAAAGAGTTGAAAGGAACAAAAGGAATATTTCACATTGATGAAAGATATCTACCAAGAAGATAAAACATTCACCAACCTTTATGTACTTAACAACACAACATCAAAATCTTTAAAGCAAAAACCGATAGAAATACAAAGAAAAATTGGCAAAATCCTGTCATAGAGGGAAATTTTTATCATACTTTTCCCAAAAATTGCCAGTTCAAGAAGACTGAGAACATGTAAGGATAGAGGATTTCAATAAAACAATTAACCAAGTCTGATTTATGTTGAGATTTGTATCTAATAAACAAAGAACATACATTACTTTAAGAATATGTGGAACAGTTACAAAAACTGACCAAGTATTAGATCATGAAGCATATCTCATCAAATTCCAAAAAGCAGAAATCACGCAGGCCACCCCAGCTGATTACAATTTGATAAAATTAGAAACTAACAACAACGTGAGAGCCAACTGCTGTCCCCAGCCAATTCACACACCTGGAATTCACAGGAGCTCCTCCTAGAACTCTGAGCTTAGATAGGAAATTTAAAAAAAGGAAATTTAAAACTATTTTAAGTGCTTACAATACCACCAGAAAAATGCAAATCGAAACAATGAAGTCCCATTTTTTTTTTGAATCCATCAGATTGTCAAAGGCTGAAAAGATTGATAATGTTGTATTGGTAAAAGTATGGGCCCAAAGGCTGTTGGTGGAAGGGTTTTTTGGCAACGTTCCTCTATTAAAATTTTTAAAATCTCACATCCTTTAACTTAGCAAATCTGTGTCTCCACGTCTATCCTAGATACATACTTGCTTGTGTGATAATGGGGTGAGATACAATGATATGCATTACAATATTGGAGATGGTAAAAAAAAAAAAGGAAACATCAGTGGATA